CTGTCTTCTATGATCGCCAGCCAAGATCCGTTTGTTCGCGGGGGAGTATGTTTACATAAGTTGAATTCGTGAAATCGTGCGATTCGGACGATGATCTGTAATACTAGTATCATAAATTTTACTTTTAAAAATGTATCAAGTTTTATAAGGCCATATTTCTAAATAGAAACTGAATTCTGCGCCATGACGTGTTCCTTTTTTTTTTAACTTGATCAATAAATAATAAACAGTAGCAATGTTTTATTTCCCTCCGTACTTCTGCGTGGATTAACGGTGTATTAGGCATGCATGAGAAGTACACACTAAAAAAATGTAATATGCACATTTTCAACAGCTGGTGCAGTGACTCGGAATGGCCCAAAATTTTTACTTCCGGATTGCATTATTCGAACAATTTTTGTGTTAAATATTTTGAAACAAAAGAGAAATTGGCACTGGACCTATTTTACATTGTATTAATTATAAGTGCACGTAGCGCTTTTGTAGCCTGCTGTGCTAGATGAACAATAAATTATTTACGTAATGGTTGTAATTTTTATTACAGACGACCGTGTTCGTTGCTGCTGGTTACCAGGTGGCATTCAAACGTCAGTGTCTGTTAGACGAAGACTGTGATGACGCAAAGAGGTGTAACGGATTATCACAAACGGGTTTTTGTATCTCCTGTTGCAATGACGACGATTATTGTAATATCCACACTTCTAGCAATGTCACGGACACATCAAATAATTTATCGACGACATATGCCACTTTAGCTGCCATGTCTATTATGGGATCTACCGTCAAATATTTTATTTGACTTGGCGTATGGAGTTTAAATGGTATCTTATGGTGAGGACGACCTCACTGATTGACGTCAAAGAAAACCGAGAAAAGTATTCCATTTTGATACAATGTTCGTTTATTTGTCTGTTTATTAATTATCAGTGCAGAAAGAGGGGCATAATAGTCAACATTCATATCACGCAGTAAAGTAGTTTAAAAAAAAAGGATCCCTAACATTTGTTTCTGTCGTCTTACTCAGGGTTCGGGCGAATTATAGTCTGACATGTAGGCGTTGTAGCGCCCTCGCCGTCGGGCTAGGCGAATTACTAATATCCAAAAAACAATTGTATCGGTCATTTATTCGACAGGCAAACAAGTTCTAGGAACAACACGAAAAATGTTTGTGCATGCAGAAATTTACTTAGTCATGATAATACAAAAACAAACATTTGAAACACAGACACTTGTCAATGCGTGAAATAGACAGAAACATCCCGATGCAAAATTTCACGCGTAACACAAAACAGGATTATCGTAGCTAGTGTATCAATATATTTCAATTACAGAAAAATACAACTCCATTGAACGATTCGATGTAAAACCCAGAACTTGTACGGTATTTAGAGAAATAAACGTCGTCGACGTCACGCCAGTGAAAAAAAAAACACAGATTGAAATCAAACATAAAAGAGTATCGAAGTTTTTGAGTTATTTATGGGAGAATTGCAAAGGAGGCCTGTTTATTTTTGGTGCTTCCATTTCCATTTAATTATGTTAATATGCGCGCAAACTTGGGCCCAATTAGGTGAAGTGTTTTAGAGCTGGCGAAGTATTAACTAACCAGAAAGGCTGTACCACAAATTGGTCCACTTACCCTAGGCTGACATGTATATCAACTTTCGCCGGTTAGCAGCTGTGTTTTTTAAGTCTTAGTTTTCTTGTGAATCCGCCTCTCCATTTTTTCCACCTAAACTGTTATTGTTAAGTGAGATGGTGTGTTTTGCTCCCTAGCTTGTAATGTATTTACCTAATGAATAATTCTTAGATATTGTATTTTACATTCAAGTAATGGAGTACCATTTATATGTATTTAAGATGACGTAATTCGATAATAAATGACATTTTCTGTTGGTATAATAAATCATCATTTAAGTAATTAAGTCATTACTACATCAACATGAGTGTGTACTTTGTTGGTTGTTATCATAAACACTATATTCCCTGATATGAATCTCGTGGGTTCGACAATCTTCACATTATGGCACTGTCGCTTTAGTAAGAGCAATAATCGTAGAACGCCCTCTGTCGACAAAAAAGTGTAAGCACTGTGATTTAGTCCTGTTACAAGTACAAAACGTACATTACGTTGGCAAAGCTGTGTCGTTTTTTTTATTTGTGATATCTAGTTCTATGTGGGTGATTGTTCTGGTGCCGTTGTAACACTCATTTCCAGGGGAAACGTCTGAGATAATCTAGTACACAGTGAATCCAAATAGCATATTGGTGAGGTTGTTAGTGCAATTCGAAATACTAGTATAAACGAGTCAAATTGCAATTAAGGAAGTATGACCATTTCTCTCTGTCGAATTTAACATTCCTGTCTTTTAAATAATTAAAATCACACTTGAAATCCATCGAAACTTTATACGACTTTTTGTCTATGATTTGTATTAAATCGATATTATTAGTATGTATTTGTACAAATTCAAATATCAGTAAACACATGTCCACTAATTGAGGCACACATAAACTTGGATTTCCACGTCACTTTTTACATACAATACAATAGAAACAAGTAATCAATTTAGTATATATTTTAGGGGAAAAACGATCGATCTTATTTCAGACATTGTGTTTAACAGCTGCTAAGATATATATATATATATATATATATATATATATCAGAAAGCTCGGATATATTTATAACTCGTATTCATAATTTAAAGGTCGTAGATCTGAGAATAAATTTGATTTTTGTGTGCGTAACCTCGACATTTGACGTGTTTTCATGTTGATATGTTGAGACATCATAGCGACCAACTGTCGCCTTTATTATATTAAAAAAGTGACAGCGCCACCATTAGTTATGACTTTTGAATTACAAAATTAGTTATTTTGACAGTTGATGACAACATTCCACGGAGTCAAATTTTATATGCGGTTATCATTTTGACAAATATCTCCGTCAGAGCTACCGTATTTGTGTATATGTATTCACACGCCTGCATTCCCCCGTGATGCTGTATGCTATTCTACCCGACGTGCCTGAGTCGACTACTGCTGTTTCGTCAGGATTTAACTTACAAAAAAATCAATAATCTGTCATCTTATGAATACCTAAATTAAACGTTTAGATGTATATATTCGCGTATGTAAAGATGGCCAGGCTTGTGTATTGTTGGGATGGGGATATCGAACACCGGGGTCGACCGCAGACACTAACATTATAATAACGGCTAATTTGGAATTGGGTACAATATGGAGAATTCAGAGTATTAACTTTGGACTCAGCTTGTCAATTTTACCCGATTGCGCTAAAATAATTCGAATGCTCCCCCAGTTCTAGTACCAATGTTGAATTGTAAAACCAAGTTTGCCAAACGGGCTTGCGGTCCCATAGTTTTTTTTTCTACAGGGACTCCCATTTTCTCACGATCTTGAGAATGTGGTCCCTAGTGTGTTCGCCGCTACTTAGTCCTGCTGAAAATTTTCATCGATTATTATGGCTTGACCGGCAATACCTCCCACGAATAAGCTCATGAGAGGGTTTGGTTTCCTGATTGGCAGGAGAGACTGAATCGTGGATGTCAGCCCAGACACCATGGGGGAGAATATGAACTTTACCTCAGTGCACGACTAGATATTGTCCTATAACGGTACGTGATGCCTAATCTATACATTGTTTAAACAATGAATGTTTACTGTTGAAATACAAATATTATCTTGCGGGGTATCCCTCAAACAGTTAGAAATGCGGGAATTAACAAAATCCCAAATTGAAGTCTAACAATTACCTGATTGTTCAAAACGAAACATTTCCCTTCCAAAATTGATCTTAGTTGCACTCTTCCGAGTTTGCTTTAAAATAAATTAATGTTTTGTCCTATTGAATGCTCACAGCTGCTGAGCAAACAGTTAGCAATGTAAACAGTGGAAACGTCACTAACTTGGTCCATTCATCACACTCGCTTCTAGTACAGTACTTCAAACCATTCCCGAACTTTTGTTCTTACGAAGCGGTTCGTGACGCGAGTCGAGTCTTGTCCTCCAAGACGCTTTCTAGGGGTAAGCTTTCAAGTTAGATGAAATGTTATCACTCTTCCATATTATGTCAAAACGAATCAATGGGCTCGTAAAAAAACTAACACGCGCGAAAGAAGATGTTTTTTTTATTCCTATCAATTAATGATACGGGTGCATTATGAAAACTTTCTCGCGGGAAAAAAAGGTTACAGCTGACACTAAAGACGATGTAACAACATATTAGCCACCCGTGCAATTAGAATGGGGATAACGAGCCGGCAGCTTTTATTGGAAACTCGATACGGTTAGAAATTACTGTAACGTACAACCCAAGACAAGGATGTTTAGTGACCATGGAGAAACAAAAATAGCGTGTACACATTGGAGAGAGTAATGCGACTACATCCAGCAAATTGGAGGGGAGTGGCTGTCGATGAAGATGGACAGTTGGGTGTATATCCGAGATGAACGCGGCATTCCTCTAAGCTCTACCTATTTATACCGGGGTACATTGTAGTATCACCGCGTTATGGCTTCATTTGGCATGTCTTTCAAAGGACTTTTCAGTGGGTCTAAATGTTGTGACTAATTACATATCGAATTCTAGCTCCTTGCATAGGAAAGATTGCACATAGCGATTGTCCTGCCTTTCATTACGATAATTACTCCGTTTATTCTGCTAGGCTCGTCCAATGTCTACTCTCCCTCCCCGCTCACTATAGCGGTCGCACGAATCGTTCGCGATCTAAAGTGACGGCCATAAAACTGGCTATACTCACCTTAAATCATCTATATTTATTTATTGGCCCATAAATACCCAGATGTAGAACGCCAAGTGTCAGTAATGAAAGACGTATAAACGTTCATATATTTTCAGCACGTATAGTCGTAGTATCCCCGAGGGGGTAATTGGAACAGCGGTATTGTTGTGCATGTGCTAGCAGACACTCAACGTGTGTTAGCTCGGAGCTGGGTTTTTTAGACATCATTGACTCTATCTCACCGACCATCATCATGTATTTTCTTATAGTCACATATTTGCTCGATACAACATGATCAAAACGCCGTTTATTGCTGTATTATTGATTATCGCTGCACAAAGTCAAGGTAAATTTCACAATTTCTCTCATTTTCTGCCTCTTCCCCCCCGAAGACTGTTCGCTATGTTTGAAGCCGCCATATTCAAGTCAACATTGAACTGGGCACTGTTTACCGTGTTGGTTTTACTAATAGACCGGTTTGTTTACTTCACAAGAAAGGCAGTTTAGAAAGGGTTTTCATTGAATGATGAAGCTCATATTTTGCAGCGTATTCTCGTCTTTATTTTGCTCCAATGTTGGCTTCATGTTTTGAACCTGCGCGCAGAGATCGGGATGTGTATCAGTAGAATCGACGTGATATCATGTACTCTGCCTGTACTTTGGGTTTCCAATTACACACTCTACCAAGCATTCACTCGTTCCAGTTTTATCACACATTTTTTATTAATTTGCAGATCCTCAGTGTTGTCATAATGTGAATAGCCACCCAGAATGTCAGGAAGTTTGCGACCAGGTACGATTTTACTGCCCATTTTAATACACTTCAATCTTTTAGCCAGAAATTTAAGTGGTCCAAAAAGGGGGTCAGAATTGCTGTTGAAAACAATTCGCACTCAAGTCTTGTGTAAATAAGAAGAGTAGACAGATTACTTAGTAAAAGCGGCCAGTATTTCACGTGTAATATTAGTAGGATACAAATGAACCGCTTGTATGTAGTGATTAGTAGTTTTGTGTATAATTTGCGTGGTTACACGAAAACATTGCGGGCCACTTTAAAGCAGTGGCTTTCGCATCCAAGTGGTCGCCCTCAAATGGCCTTCGTATTGGAGGAGCAGCCATCCCGCCGAGTAGACTTGAGGTCACTGCAGGGGACAGCGAACTATTTACACATGCCGATAATTTATCATGATTCAACTGTCAAATTTTGGTAAACATACTTTGTAGTGACATGCCCTTTTTCTAGCAGTGTAAACTATCTGTCATCTGTGCCAGCCAGCCATGTCACAGTCAATGTGGGCAGAGTTCGTTATGCACACAGCTTCTAGCCCGGTATTCAGTTTTACCAAAGTATTTCTTCACCTCAAGTAGTTTTTCCTCTTACACAGACGTTCTTCAAACTGGCTCCACCCCGTTTTGTTCCTTGCAAACATTGTTGACATATATTAAATAAAAGAATAAATTTTTGGTCTAAACTCTACACAAATTCAAAATTATATTTATACTAGTACATCCACCAGATAATACAGTTGGTTGACCTGCCATTATGACATAAAAATCCGCGATCCCAAACCAACAGAATAAACATTTTCTAATTTTACTTTCCGTTCTGGACTGGATTCTCGCAATCAGTGTAAGTTTTAGTTTACCTTTCTCATGCTCAAACCTAGTAAATAGGCAGTGTTTGCAAGGTCATAGGTTAGAATAATAGAAAGTGGAGCTGGAATATTGCTGTGGGCATATGAACACAACAAGTTGAATACGCCTGAAGATTGCCGTGCACAATGTTTCTCAAGCTCACCACACTTACTTGACATATTATGTGATGTAAGTCAGTAATAAATAACATCACAGTTGTTTGAGCAGTGATCTGGTATTTACCTGATTAGTTTTTCACAAAAGAATTTTCAGAAATTTCATGAGTCTGGGAGATAATTGTGAACAATTCTCAGGGAGTCTCGTTCACTTTGTCAAAATTTGTTCTGTGCTGCTTCTCTTTTGTCAACTTTCACAAAAGAAACCTGCATAACTGTTTTTCATATATTTTGCAAATATCAACCCCTGTAGCCAATTCGAAATTTTATTTGGTCCAAAATTTACAAATAAATGATGAAATATATAAAAATGTACAAAATGTTGCATCACAGTTTTTTTGGGCAAATCAGTGATATATTCTCGTTTCCGAGTAAAAGGAAAAAATAAAAAATGCTGTTGATGTCTAAAATACTAAAAAGCTACCGTTTATTCATTTATATATATTTATATATATAGTTGTTTTTTTACTACTAAAAAGCAAAAAACTAGCTGGTATTTTATTCAAAGTAGGTGGTCTTTTTGACTGACTATAGGCTGATTTCTACATCACTGGGCTCAAGTGATGGGACTCAAATCTTAGATGTTGATATTACCAGCCGACTCTTCCTACTGTGAGGGTATTTTATTAACACATTTTATCACAATTGTCATAGTTTCTACAATATTTCAATGTTGTTTTTATACATTTTAACAACACTTTGAAGGTCAAAGGTCAATTTCAGGCACTGTCCACAAAATAGGTACATTTATAGTCTGCTTTTTTTTCTCCACATGAAATGTTGTGAAAATTTCTATTTTTTTCATCGGAAACTAGAAGCGATGTTGCATTTTGTCTGTCTTGTCCAAAATTAGGATTGCAATGTGAATTACAGAAAATGTGAACATTTTTACCAGAATTTGAACAGGAAAAATATTTAGGTGCTATAAATTTTGGTGGTTTGATAATTTGAGGGGGATTACATTTTGTAAAAATCACTGTTATTCCCATCTTTAAAGATCACAGTGAAAAGTTCACTACTATGAACTGTCGTGCTTTTCTGGAAACATTCTGGTGCAAAAATGAGGCAATTAGCAGTAGTAGTAGCAGGGATACTTCTTGTTAAATATTTAATGTTAACCTAACCTTGCCTGCCCAGCACCAGTCCAGTTGGTATATAATAATTGATATTCATAATAATAATCATGTCATTGCCTTTTTGTAACAATTTTACATTGGCCAAAATTCAAGTGATAATTTATAAAATGAACTTTACATAAATTAATAAAAGAATGTAAATAATATGAGATTATTATGAAGATACCTCAAAGTATGCACAAAAACAGTACAGCAGGAGTATTGAACGACATGCAGCGGAGGTTGATGTGATATAATATATATAATATTAGTTTAAAAGCCTCTCTGGTTAGCTAAATTTTGAATGTCTGTTTCTCTACTTGAAAGTAAATATACGACTTTACAGTGTGTAATTGTTGTTCTCTGTAAAGACTTTACAGACCGTAAAATTTTATTTCTGTTATTATGAGTAATCTGCTGGAATTTATGGGAATTAAAGTATGCTTAATATATTATGTAAATGATCTGTTAATAATGTTATCATGAATAACAAATTAGTGTGGATATAACCATAACAAACATTTTAATCTTTTATGTACCTCTTTTGGAGATGCACTTCTATTTGAGCAAATATAGTTATGGTTTTTCAATGCTACTGAATCTGCTACTGATTCTGAGAGAGCTGTATTGTAAAACTGTACAAGTTGTTATATGAGGCATAACAAACTTAGCTGTTCTTGTTTCCATGGTGATCTTTGTGAATTGTATTGATTGCCAGGGATATGGAATGTAGTTATGATGATGTAGATATGAGATGATGTGATATACGCTACAGGATGTGTAGTGAAAAAATGCACCCATTTGATGTAATCAGTTCCTGCTATGAGTGATCAAACTTGACCCCCTACACTTCGTCATATCCAGATAACCAAATAACAGTCCAGGTCTCCAACGAGGTCATAAAGGCTATTGCCTAGATGTCCCACCTTAACACCAACGCCTCATGAATACTTTCATGGATAGCAGAACTGAATTTGGAAAAATGGCGTCTGCAAGCATATGTCATGTGTTAACACATCGCCTACTTATTACTTTCACGGATAGCCAAATGGAATTGAAAAAAAGAACCTACTTCAGCAGGGATGAGTTAAATGCCCTTCAAAATATTTCCTTCAGAATTTTAATCAGTCTATGGCATTTTATTAAATTTCCTCCTTGAAATTTGGTGCCCCTAGAATATAGAAATTGAAGCCCTGGCCAATTAAAAGATAGTATTGCTTTATATAAAATATGTCATTACTTAAATGAATATTTTGAGTTTGATAGCATCACATAGTCTACCAGTATTAATTGTCATATTGAATATCATCATGACAAACTGGAATACTGTAGAATACTTAATTTTCACTTGGAAGTTATTTTTGCTATTTTCACTGAAAGGATGATTCCGTGAAAATATAATCTAGCGAATATACTTTTTTTCTTATTTTTTCACATTAAACTCATCAAAAATCAGTGAAAATAAATTCCATACAAAACGCCCAAAAAGCCTTTTCAGCGAAAATTGATTCCAGCGAAAATAAAGTATTCCACAGTATTAGACGAACAAAGATAATATTTGAATTCATCAACATTTTTTTTTCTGCCAACTTGTTTTTATGTGTGCATGTTTTCAGGTAATAATATATTATACGGTCGTTTCTCAGAGATGACTACGCTGATTGACTCTTCATTTAAAAAAATGATCAAATTAGGAGATGAGTTTAAATAAGCTGAAGCAAGAAATAAATGAATGGCAGAACAACAATAAACCCTATTTCATGAATTTACAGATAATCAATGTTTTTGTAAGTGAAATTGAAAAAAAAACAAGCTCGAGTTGAATCCATGAGAGGGATCAACATCCATAGCGTGCCCGACTATGGGCTAACTGTTGTCATTTTGACCTGGAAACTATTAACGCTGGAAGGATGCATTAATGTATTAATAATTAATTCATTGATTTTCAGAAAGTACTAACAATGTAAAAATGCAATGAAAAAAAAAATTAGCAGGTTGTGAGGCAAGCTAAGCTATTGTGTGCTTTCAAGCACATCAGATGATCAGTTTACAGGTCAATATCGATAAACTATCATCATGTTTTTCCGAAAAACATGTCATTGTAAATCCAAAAATTATGCTTTTTACAAAATATGAAAAAGAGAAAACACAGATCTGGCAATAACAGTTAGTATATGTTACTTCAAACATGGCACTTTTGAGTTGCCATTTTTCCGTCAAGGTAATTACCAAAAGTTATACAGTGGTGTATGCTGGGAAAACACTGCTGTATATCACTGTTTTACTGCTCAGATTATATTAATAAATAATGACAAATTTTGGCCATGCTGCGTTCAATGATGATTGGTGTATATTCTTCTGTTGCAGAAACCTCACCAGTTTACTAGTACTTTCTCCACTTAGTCCTCATTCGTGATAGTAGCAACACACCAGTTTATAATGCTTATATAGTGCTTGATTGTTGATATTATTTTTTTCTTTGTATATCAAAAATTACATGGAATTTTGTTTCACCCCCTCCTCCAAAATGTTGTGACAAATTGACACTGATGGCACAGGAAATGTTTATTAAAAAAATAAAATTGAGGAAAAATTAAGATCGATTTTTGAAAATATATCTGCTTCCCAATCAATGTACTAGTGATGTGCATTAAATAACATGCTTAATATTGATTCCAATATGTACCAAACTATGGAATGAGGTCAGTCTAGTTGACACATGTCCAGGCTCACATCTATTAGTCCCACTTGGAACATGTTAGACACCAAAACTACAAATTCAAGAATGGAGTTATGTTTTGGGTTTTCTGTCTGCCTGGACCTGTTTTGTTCAAAGTTATTGCAGAAAGTTGGTGCCTTTTTGGTAGGTTTCAGTAATACATGATAACCATTTGGTGGCCATTTTTAATGCTTGTTCCGTTTCATTCCTGTACTTGCATTTCCACCTGCAGATTTTGTTCAGACTTGGTATGTACAATAAACATTATGGGAGCTTGATGCATCTCATTTTGTTTTTTCAGATCGGATTCAAAATGGCCGACTGGTGGTCATTCAGTTTTAATGAATCCAGTTCTGGAGCCATATAGCTCTGATCGTTCATGTTCTATTTATTTCTTAAACTTGATAACTCACTGAGACTATGTAATACGAATAATTATTGTATTTAATATTTCCCTGATGGTACATCACAAACTCAGTACAAAAGCAAGAGAATGTCACACATTATTTACTTAGCTAACTTTATCATTAATTTTGTTACATTTTAAACGCCATGATGGAAATGTAAAATGTTTTGCACAAATGCAATAAAGTTTTTATCATATGTCAATTTATTTTGGGTCATGGTAAAATTGAATCAACTTTTGACTATTTTCATCCTAAAACCTCAAAATGTCTCATAAATGTTTTAAACGAATCGATGTACAATTGCGACAACTCAACTCATGGTGCTGTACAGTGTTTCATAGTGGATCACAGCATGCTCAAAAATCAATTTCTATTTATCCTTGTAATTTACCATAAGGATTGGCATTTGACCCGATATATTAGTCTATATTTACTGATTCCCTACATCAATGATTAATTTGACGAAGTTTAACATGGATTAAACAATAAGCCATAAGCAAAGCTTTTAAACTAATTGCTTTAAATTGCAAAAATTAATAAATTATGCGTTCATGGTAATTAAAATACAACAGTCAAGGTTATAATAGTTGTGCTATGTTACTTTAGGATTCTTGATTCTGTGACTCAGTATTACTATGGCATTACAATGAGTACCCTAGTGTTCGAGAGCTAGTGCGACTCATTTCAACACAGTAGAAGGCAATCCTCCAGTATTAATATTATAACACTGATAATATGACATACACCATGTCTGGCTCTAACTGTAGGACAATCAAAATGAAATTAAAATAAATCGAATGTAAGAAATAGATCAAAGTTGTTGAATGCTAGATATTAAAATTCTATCTTTCCATATCAAAATGGAGGATTATAGAATGAAAGTGGAATTGTGCGCTCTGCTTTTAATACCCTTTGAATAATTGCCTTAAACTTTGTGTGTTCACATTAAGCTGCTTTCAGAACCATCGCAATTACCATTATCAACTACATTGTCTGATTGAGGATAGACTCCCTTGGGAATTTAAATCAAGTTTTAGATAGATTATATTCAATTGCAGCAGACGAAAATGTTTCACTTCTAATGCTAAGTTTTTCCTTCTCTTATAGATGGCATTAGAAACGAGCCATACTGGAAGACAGCGTCATGTAACCAATCTACGCACACACTGCCCTTTGACATTGGTAGGTATAGCAAAAATCATTGAATTTCATATCACAATTTACATGAGAAATGCGCTTGTAATATCCAGTCCCAGCGTTTTTTATTGACTAGTCACAGCACAAGTTCTGACAAGCTTGTGTTTTCAGTAGTCGTATAAAAAGTGTGGAGGTTAAGTTCAATAATGGAAGTGTTATAATTCTGATTAAAATACAATTTTATTAAAATACATTTTGGCTAATTATCTCTGAATGAACTTACCGCATGAGTTCATGGAGAGGTGGATGAACAGATATGAGACAATCCAAGTGAATGTTGCCTGCTTAGCATTAGCTATAACCCAATTTTATTAGCATTTTGATAACGTGGCTAGCCTTAGTGCTAATCCTGAAGCGTTGTTTCCACTTTCCATTAGCCAAATGGCTAATTTTTTCTGGCTTAAAGTTCATCTCTCTTCCCAACATGTCCATGAAATGTAAACTGTTAGATGTGAATATAAACATGTGCTGTATTTTGCATCAAAACATGTTCATGATGCTGATGCTATTCAAAATGATATTAAATAGGTAATGAGATCTAATCTCCATTTACCTTGATCAGTTAGAATATCATTTAGGCACGCAAGATTATCATGGGAGTTGGTCAGTTGGAATATCATGCGAGTTGGTCAGTGGAGATATCATGCGAGTTGGTCAGTGGGAATATCCTGTGAGTTGGTCAGTGGGAATATCATGCGAGTTGGTCAGTGGGAATATCATGCGAGTTGGTCAGTGGGATTATCATGCGAGTTGGTCAGTGGGAATATCATGCAAGTTGGTCAGTGGGAATATCATGCGAGTTGGTCAGTAGGAATATCATGCGAGTTGGTCAGTGGGAATATCATGCGAGTTGGTCAGTGGGAATATCATGCGAGTTGGTCAGTGGGATTATCATGCGAGTTGGTCAGTGGGAATATCATGCAAGTTGGTCAGTGGGAATATCATGCGAGTTGGTCAGTAGGAATATCATGCGAGTTGGTCAGTGGGAATATCATGCGAGTTGGTCAGTGGGAATATCATGCGAGTTGGTCAGTGGGAATATCATGCGAGTTGGTCAGTGGGAATATCATGCGAGTTGGTCAGTAGGAATATCATGCGAGTTGGTCAGTAGGAATATCATGGGAGTTGGTCAGTAGGAATATCATGGGAGTTGGTCAGTGGGAATATCATGGGAGTTGGTCAGTGGGAATATCCTGTGAGTTGGTCAGTAGGAATATCCTGTGAGTTGGTCAGTAGGAATATCATGGGAGTTGGTCAGTGGAAATATCATGGGAGTTGGTCAGTGGGAATATCCTGTGAGTTGGTCAGTAGGAATATCCTGTGAGTTGGTCAGTAGGAATATCCTGTGAGTTGGTCAGTAGGAATATCCTGTGAGTTGGTCAGTGGGAATATCCTGTGAGTTGGTTAGTGGGAATATCCTGTGAGTTGGTTAGTGGGAATATCCTGCGAGTTGGTCAGTGGGAATATCCTGCGAGTTGGTCAGTGGGAATATCATGCGAGTTGGTCAGTGGGAATATCCTGTGAGTTGGTCAGTAGGAATATCCTGTGAGTTGGTTAGTGGGAATATCCTGTGAGTTGGTCAGTGGGAATATCATGCGAGTTGGTCAGTGGGAATATCATGCAAGTTGGTCAGTAGGAATATCATGGGAGTTGGTCAGTAGGAATATCCTGTGAGTTGGTCAGTGGGAATATCCTGTGAGTTGGTCAGTGGGAATATCTTGCAAGTTGGTCAGTAGGAATATCATGCGAGTTGGTCAGTGGAAATATCCTGCGAGTTGGTCAGTTGGAATATCCTGCGAGTTGGTCAGTTGGAA